GGGAAGGTTTTAAAATGAAGGTAAATATCAGCGCTACAACCTAACAAAGCCGGAATTTTTGTTTTCAATTTATTTGTTTACAAAAAACTCGAGTTTTCTAAAAAATTAATCTAGATTTTTCGAAAAACTGTCAAAAAAATTTAATTATTTTTTTTCAAAAATCCGGCGTTGTTAGGTTGTAGGGACAGGTCTTCTCTACATTTTGACACCATCCCGAGGTCCGTATCATTAAAACTGAAAACAAAATCTTTGACACACGGATACCTACTTTTTGACCCTTGATGTTACAATAACTCGCGAAAAAGTCAATGTAATGAGCTCAATTTTTTACTGAAAACTGTCAATGGTCAGATACATATTCAATAAAAATTTCAGTAAGATTGAGTGTTCCGGGAAAAAAAAATTTTAGAGGGTAGGAGGGCCCTTAATACGAGAAATCACCGGTTGTTATTAAACATTTCCTAGATTCATTCCAATGCTTGGTCCAACACTAAAACACACCATGTTGAATAGAACCCGTCGAGACGCATCTGAGTATGTATTTTGTTAGCCTTCATCTCGACAAAAACATCAGAAAGTGTTATAAAGACTGGTTTTCCTTGTCGTGTGTGGCAACAAAAGTTTTCAGATTCATTTCTCGGCTTGGTTCAAGTCCGAGATCAGCTTTTTCTGAATCACTGCTTTGAGCTCCATCAAATTATGCCATTCTAACGATCTTCCACTAGCAATAATTTTAGAGATTTTCAGAAAAACATATTTTACTCTGAGGTGTTTGGAATATAATATTTCATTTTTTATAATAGTTCACTTCCAAACTTGATCCAAACTAGAAACAACCTGGTTCAAATAGAGCTCGATGAGCTCTACAAAATGATGTAAGGCATGGTGAAAAAGAAGGAATCATCTATTTGAAAAATTAGCAATGTTCGAGTTTTTACATACAAAAAGGTGACTTTTGCGATAAAAATTGCAGAGATTCATTTCCTGACTTGGAGCAATGGTAACTGTGTATCAATCCTGCGTAAACTTAAGAAGTCATAAAGAGAGATACAGTTTATAGTATCTAATGTCAGACGTGTAGTTAGTCCACTTATAGGTGGATATCACCTTTTCATAGCACCTTCTCTTACGCTCATTCTTCAACTTGCCCGAAACCCTATTTACTTGAAGAAACCCTATGTAGACTTGACATTTAGCCAATAGGTAGATCGCCCGTACCAGGACAGTTGGAGACTTGGGACTTTCGCCAGGTTGTAGACGACAGTTATTGTATATCGACATGTGTTTAGAGCAGTACTTTTGCTATTTAGACTTTTGGAAGGGCCGACTCGTACATTTTGTTTCGAACGGTATACCATGGCAAACCTCTTTCGAAAAGCGGGATTTTTCATAGATCGATGTTCCACGGTGGCTAATTTTAGAAACTGGAAACCACAAGTCTCTAGCTTCTTCGGTTCAAAAGTTATTGAAAAAATATCGCAATCCATTCTGTTTTACAATAGATAGCAGTGCATCAGATAGAACATAAAAAAGTGAGTTTAGACCACAGAATTAGAAACTGAATAGTATTATTAATCATTTTCAAAAGAAACTTTAACCTGGTTTTCGTTACGAAATCACGCTGTCGAATAACCAAATTTTCAAACACTTCTAAGCTAAGCAGTTCAGATTGAAACAGGTTGAGATCTGAATTAAAATGATCAGTGTCCATTTGTTTATCGTTACCGACTTCGATATCTAACAAATAAATAAATGGCCTGTAAAGCAAAATTATTGATAGTATATGTTTGACGGAACTTTCATCTATGAAAAGCTTTAAATTCTATCATAAATGTTTGTCGACCCAACGGGTCGATCCCTCGGACAAATGTTGATATTGTCCTGATTCCGGGAGGCGACTACGATAAACTAACCAACAGCAACGAGCAGGCATCCGTCGCCCGATACTTTTAAGATAAGCTAGGTAGGCGATAGAGTTAAGTGGCAACACAAGCGCCTGCTCATGTACTAACGAAGTATTCAGACAGTGCACTGAATGGGTAGTTTTTATTTGCTGCAAACTCAAAAGTCGTGAGATGATCTTATCTTGCGGCAAATTCCTCTAAATATTTTTTTCCAGAAGGGGCAATTGTGCTGCTGGCGACCCACCAATGTATATGATCAGTTGTAGCATGAATCAGGCAATTTTAACTTTAAATCCGCTCGAATGACTGCGAGAGAAATATGTTTAGTTTTATATGATACGCCAGCAAATAAGAGCAGATAGATGAACGTGTTTACCATCATCGGCAGAAATGTCTGCATCATGTCTTTTGTATTTCTTCTCCTCTTTTGAACAAATAGAATATGGTGTATGATTTATATGTTGTTAGGCGTACCTAGCACGAAGTAATTCATTTTATCATATTTCATTTCAACAGCCGGTCCTGTCTAGTCTCCAGATATCTGCAGTACCGACCACAATTTTGTTGACCGGTTGCATCTCTGTAATGAACGATATGAACGCGAGATAAACAGTTTTGTTTATCATTGCATAAGCCATACACCTGTGTTTGTTTTCTTGTCAAACAGCACGTAATGCAAAATAAACAAATTCAGAAAAGCCAGAGTGTCAACTACACTTTGTGAAGATTAGAAGGCTGGCGAAGTTTATAATTTCAGTTTTCTGATGTTAAATTTGACATCAGCTATTTTTTAATTCGGTCACCATCATCGTTCTCATCTGGTACAAAATTGTTTTTTAAAGATGTTCAGAGCTGCTTTTCTCAAAAAAACCCTCCCATGTCTCTAAAAAAATTACACTTTTTCCGCAGAAAAAGTTGTTTTTTATCAAAAAATTGAAAATTTTAAGCAAAAACATTTATTGATCGAAGTTTTTAAAAAATTCGTTAAAAAATACTGACAAAAATAACAAATCGAAAAAATTCTGATAATTCTTAACCCAAATATTTATGTTTTCAGATTTTCTTCAACTTTTCTCCCAGTTTGATATTGTTCTCATTCGGATGTTTTTCATTATACCGAATGACATCACACCTTTTCAGTAAATTCAGAGCTTAAATTTAAGGGTGAAAGGCAATCTCACTTTTGAATTCATAAGATCCATATAGCAGAGCATTGGTTTTACACTTATGCTGATTTTTTACGCCTCACATGCACTGTATAAAATTCTCATTTTAAACATAATCTATATGACTTGGTTCAGACTACACCAAGTTAATCTTTCTGCTTCATTCTTTATATCTTTATTTATCTATTTATTTCTTAGTTTGATTGAGTAAAAATAGTTTTACGAATGATTTTCGTACCCTTAACGTTTGTATCTCTTAGAGATTCGCTTATTCGTTTTATTTGATTTTTTTTCAGAAAAGCGATATATTTTAGTGTATTATGAATAAATCCCAAAAAAACAAGGAATTCAAACATTTGCCTGTGCATGGACCAGCTGAATACCGTCCAATTTATATTCATAAATCAACAATTGAAAATTGTTATGACGTATGCATGAAAAACGGAACAACATTCCGTTGAAATCTCATTGTTGAAATTGTTTTTTATTTGTATATTTCAAGGTTAAACGTTTAATCCAAAAATCACAAATGTTTTGTATTGACATCGAAAGTATCGTAGCAGCATTCAATGATCGTATAAAAGCAGAAAATCAACAAAATCATCCTGCTCTAATTCAAGTAGCAGTGAAAGCCTCAGATTTATCAACAACAAATGTGTAATTTATCATTTGTTGTTATTTTTGCAAATTTTTATTTTAACAACAATAGATAATAATTCATTGCCAGATAAAATTGAAGAATTATTAACAATGATTTTTGAATGTGAAAAGGAAAAACTGTTTTGTGGTGAACCAAAAGATGAGATGACATCTTTGAAAGTACATTACAAAAATAATCTATTTCACCGTGGTGAATTAAAAGCAATTTTTCATATTCGAGAATTATTTCATGGTAAGCCTTACATTCTAACTGGAGTACTTAATTGTTGTTGCTGTTTTTTTCGAAGAAAAAATTCGTTATGAAGGAAAAACCGGAAAACGTTTACTTGAACAAGAATCGTCAGTATTTTCTGCAGTGCCAGGAGCTCTGGTAGTGGATAATTCTGACGACGATTGTTTCAATTCAAATGCTGTAGTACAACCTTGGTAAGTTATTTTCTTTCGCAAATAATACCTGTTTTCACAGACGTATAGGAATAGTAGAAGTAACACTACTCTGTGTATCTGAAAATTCTAAAGTGCTGCTTATTTTTCCAACTGCTTTTGTGAGCCCAAGTATCGCTGTCTCTATAAGTACAGTGGATCGAAAAATTATTGGCCCACCTTTATTTTTGATCCTTCTTGTCGACCATAATAGCTAGGAGGAATTTGAAAAGAGATTTGAATTGCTAAACGAATTTCCAATCTAATGTGATGTATATAAACATTTCATCGAAAGTCCTGAAACCAAGATGTCTGGAAAACTAAAATCTTAGAAAATCAAGTACCGAAGTTTGATCTAGAAATTCTTTGCAAATAAGTTTATTGTTTAGACAAATATTTCTGAAGAAAATAAGATGTCTTCGAGCTCTTTACTACATTTTTTCATGAAACAGCATTCAGTTTACGAAAGGCCCCAAGTGCGTATTTTTCTCGTTTTCAAGATTGACACAAAAACAGTTGGAAAACTTCCATAGATTCGGACATTTTTCTCTCTTCATAATTATCAATAAAAGTACACTTTTCGTGCACACGTTTTATCTCAAATTTTGTCAGCCATAGTGAAAGAGCAAGGGGCTTTCTAATCACTAACCACTACGTAGCTTAACATTATTTTGTATAGTAAAACCAATTTAAATATTTCTCTAGGTAATTTTTTCTCTTTGTATGTATAAAAATGTATAACAAAACTGTATATCTAGCACTGTATAAAACTGGACTGACACGAAAAATAAAATCATAAAGGAAAAGAAAGACACTGGACAGTACATATACGAAAGAAAAAGAAGGAAAATCACGCGTCAAATACACAAAGACATAGAAAAAGGAGAATCGAGGCTTATGATCTGACAAAGTTTGGAACCTCTGTTTTAGTGGTCAATTTTTTCTCATTGTCAACAAAATCCTCTCGCCTTATAAGGGTGGGTTGTTGAGAAAGCGTGTGAGCCTGGGAGCAAAAATATTTTCAGATTTGCAGACTGATTTCTACAAAAAGCTGTAAACGAAGTAAGATGGATTGAGTATAGCATAAATGATTCAGTCTAGGCTTATTCTATTTGCTGTACTTTATATCACAAGGATGTTGAAATTTCATTAGTCGCTCGCTCTACAACTTGGAACTTTTGAAGATCGATAGTTTTTCTTCATCTGAAATCTTATTATTACAAAACGAAGTTTTATTACATTCTATTGTCTTAATGAAATCAAAAAGATTTTTAAAAATAGCGTTTATCATCGGACAGGAAATAGAAATAGTTGACTGCCTCGAGAAATGTTGAATGAATAGTATAGCTACGTTGTTGAAATTCACTTTCATATGCTGTAATGTTCACAAATCTTTCTCCTTTTAATCTTCTTCCGTTCCGAATCTATGGAAGTTTTCCAACCGGTTCGCGATTTGATATGCTCAGAGTGAGAAGGCTGTAAAGCTGTCAATTCTTTACAAAGTGTGATAGAAAAGTTTCAGAACGAAGACGATTTTCATATTTTATTTTTGGTATGAAAAAAATACCTGACCGAAAACTATTCAGATTTAGTTTGTCTGCTTTTTTTTCGTCAGAACAAAACGGAAAGAGAAATGCGTATATATACAACACAAAGAGAAAAATAGAGACGTCTTTTTTTTACGTTTCCTTTATCTTCTGGTCAGCTGAGAAAGAATGTAAAATGTAAGAAATTGTAAATACACTTTCTTACATTTCCCATCTTTGTTAGATGTCTATTGTAGATGATAAAGCTTTGGTCAAAAAGTTTACATTTTTTCATTTACAACCTTATTTTTATTAGATGCGCCAGAACCCAAACGGACAGTACATAAACGACACACGCCGTCGTTTTCGTTGTCTATATTCTGTGCACAGAAAAAAAAGCAAAACAACGGTGTGCGTCCTTTATCGTCCGTTTGCGTTCTGGTACATCTAATAAAAATAAGATTGTAAATATAAAATATGAACTTTTTGGTCTAAGTTGTGTTGTTTCCCCCTATATAAGAATAACTGGTCAACGTTAACATCACACATGCACTTATTCCTATTCAGTTTGAAAAGTGTTTTTATTCGTTGTTAAATTGATTGGGTCTACACAATTAGAATTACGCGTATAAAATTGCATTGAAGTAAGTATGTTAAAAGTATAAAATTGTGCTTTGTCAGTTTAGATCTTCCTCCACTTTCTTTTGACTTTCTAGTAGCGTTTTATGAGAAAAGAAGTAAAGATGGTCAATCTTTGGTAGCTTCCGTTTTGTAAAACGTTTCTTGACGTACCGTTTTTCATATGACTATACTCGTCGCCATTCGTTATTTATGTCTTGAGATATTTTCACGTATCTATCCTCAGCAAAATCAATTTTTCCTCATATGATTACAACACATCTTCGTTCTTCAAAGATAAAAATTAACGTGAAAAGTACAAAAAACAGTCGCAATAACCACCGTTTTTTCTTCACTGTGCGAAAAAAACATTTTTGACTTTAGAATGTGTTCTCCTTAACGAACGGATGTTTCAAGATTTTCTCAATTTTTTATATACCCTAGTGAAACTTCTTGTACCCAAGATCTTGGGTTAAGAAATGTCACAAGATCTTGGAAAAAACACCAAGAAGTCAAGATCTTGGGTGGCGTAAGCCAAGATGTTTCAAGATCTTGGATTCTTGAATCTGTCACTCAAGATCTTGTATTAAGAAATTTCAAGATCTTGAGTGAAGCCACTCAAGATGTTGCAAGAGCAAG